ACCGCTCGCCTGCTCGTCTACCTCCAAACTTCGGTTCTTGCCTGGCAAAAAATGTGGAGATTACAATTTTTTAATTAAAAAAAATTTTTTTTAAATCAAGCTCCAAGACTGCCAATTCCTGTTTCCTTTGAGATTATAACTTTGGAAGGTATTGGGGTTTATTTAAGAAACAGGTTATTTGGTCTTTTTTTTTTTTTTTCCTAAAGATGTACAAGATGCGTACTAATTCTCCGCAGGCGCCTTGCGCGCGAGCGCGCGCAGACACACACACACACACACACACACACACACACACACATACACATTATAGTTTTAGTTGATTCGGTTGAGGGGGTAGTTAAAGACAAAAAAAATGCTTATTTGCATATACCTTTTAAAAACTATAACACAGCTTTTAACTTAGTTATTTGGCAATAACATACTAACTTTTAAATGTACTAAACTTTCCTTTGCAACATATTTTTTTCATTCCAAAATGCTGTGAAACTTTTATGTCAACATTAAAAAGAAAAACAAAACTAGCGACTAAGATGAAGGTGAGGAGCTGAGTAAATCACACTCCAACTCAAGTCTTCTCTTTATGTAGATAGCTTTTACTTTTCTATTTGTGGAATTTGTCTTAACCCCCATTCTTAAAAAGGAAGCTACAAAACCTTTTAACACTCTTTGATCCAAGTATAATTACCACCTGTTTTAAATTTCAAATTGTTGCACCTTCTCTCTAAACCATTTAGTATCCAAAGCATTTAAGTAAATGTTAATTATGTTAGTATATGTAGAGTTCCTATAGTCTAAATTAACTACAAATGCCCACAAAATAGAGTTTTGTTGTCTTAAAAAACAAAATCCAAGATAGATAAGTAAAGGATGTCCAAGAATGTAACTAACGCTTCAAATAATACATATGGAGGGGAGAGGAGGGGAAATGGGAGTAGGAAAGATGGTGAAATGAGATGGACATTATTACCCTAGGTACATGTACAATTGCACAAATGGTGCGACTCTACATTGTGTATAACCAGAGAAATGAAGTTGTGCTCCATTTGTATATAATGAATTAAACTGCATTCTGCTTTCATGTATAATTAGAACAATTTTTTAAAAGTACATATGTAAGCCTCAAAAATGTTCTAAAATTATTTTAAATTAGTTTGTGAGTTCCGAAGGAGTTCTGTCAATAAAGAGAATGTTCAAATAAAATTATCCTAGATTTAATTTTTTTAAATAAAATTGGTTTCTAAATCCCTTAGTATTAAAAAAACTTAATGGTGCAGATAGGGGCATAGCTCATGGTAGATGTGCTTACATGCAATATGTGGTGGGTATGGATCCATCCCCAGCACCAAAATAAACAAACAAAAAGCAATGGTAGTGCACCTCTTTGCTTGCTTGTATAGGATACTGTTACAGCTAGACTATATTTCACAAAAATAAATGTGTCAAGGCTGACATACAATGTTGTCATATTCAACACAGAAGAATCCTTTTGAAAAAAAAAAATCTTGTTCAAGTAACTGCCACTTTATCATTCACAATGTATGTTTTGTATTTAAAAGCTCCTTAAAATTCAATGACTTAGTACCACAGTATCGCTGAAGTGTTTTTCTCAGAAGATGGTTTGCTTCAAATTCAGCCAAGGCCTTCCTAAAACAGTAGTCTTTGCATAAATTAGCATATTCCTTTACACTCCATGATTGGACCAACCAGTTTTCTCAGTGGCTTGGGGAAATTTTAAGCATGTTTTAAAAAGTGCCTCTGGATTTGCTGGAATTTAATTATAATACTCATTTGGAAGAATTACATTTCAAGAGTCCATGGATTATTCATTGCAATTAGGACCCACCAAGCAAGTTATTCCACAGTTTCAATGAAATATTAATGGATTTCAGAAAAATATCCTCTTTGGTTGTCCAAAACCCCCAGAAACCAGAAATCTGACTTTAAAGATGACCCTGATTTTTTTAAATTTTATTTTATTGGTTTTCTTAGTTAATACATGACAGTAGAATCTCTTTTGATAAAATTATACATGCATAGGATATATCTTATTCTAATCAGAACCCCATTCTTGTAGGTGGGCAGGATGGTGGGGTTCACTTAGATAATTGCATATGCAAACATAGGAAAATTGTTAGATTTATTCTACTGTCTTCCTGATTTGATTATTACACAATGTTACATGTACTGAAATCATATTGTACCCCATAAATATGTATAATTATTTCTTAAAAGGGGAAAAAAGGATGACCTAACAAAGCTGAATCTGTATACTCATAAAATGGGTCCTGGCACACTGCAGTCTTTTTAGAAAATAATAAGAGCATTGACTTTTACCAGGAGCCAACTAAGTGTCACAAAGCATTATACTAAATACTTCCATATGTTACCAGGAGCCTTCACTCAAAACTGTAGAATAAGGTCTGGTTATCCTGTTATTTTTCAGATGAGGCTGCCAATGGTTTCAAATAATTTGCCAAAGGTCATCAGTCTAATAAGGGCTGATGTGAGGATCCTGGTCTGATGAATTCCCAAACTCGCCCTCTGTCAGTAAAAAGTATCTTGGGAACAAGCCATCTGGCTGCGTCACTGTAAACCTTAGAGTTTAGTGGTGAGGCACAGGCAGAGGGGACAACCTTGTTATTAGTCAAGACCTACTTTGAGAATGCCAGTTGTCAAATCTAATTTTAAATCTGGAGGAATGGTTTGAAAAATAGTGAAATAGCAGTGGAGAATCAGCTTTCTCAGGTATCACCAAAATTATAATCCATTTATAATATGGCAAAACAAAAACAACTTAATTTCCCCCATATAATTACAAAATTTAACATTTAATTTTAATTTGATTTTATCTGTTCCACAGATGGAACTTGGGGTATTGCACATACTAGGAAAGCACTCTGCACCTGAGCCATTTCTCTGGCTCCCAAAATTTAATATTTTAAATAAGAGAGGTGATTTTCTATGTAAAATTTACAACAGCCTTGTAAATACACAGGATTTGGTATTGAATAAGATTAGAAAACTTTTTAAGAGAAAAGTTCTTAAAATAGCTTTCCTGAATGCAGATTATTTCAATTGTATTGTCTATGATTTAATTATATACAACTAAGTGGTCATTCCTATGACTCCCACCCATGTCTGTAACCTAGAAAGAAGGTCAACTGGATACACACACACACACACACACACACACACA